AGCAAATCAGGTGATGGATATGAGCAGTGAGACATATATGAGAGGCGGTTCATAATTTAAACAAATCCATGTCCCTTTTATGCGACAGGTTAAGACTCACATTGCCTTTACGATGCAAATGCTCTCTCGGTGGAAGCTATAGAAAAAGGGAAAGATGGGAATAGGGAAGATGAATTATTTAACATTTGAGGTGCCCTTTGATGGTAACGGACAAGAACACAATACGTTTTACAATTAATTTCAGCTGTTAAATGGTACTTGAAGCAACAGCTATATGTCCTTTGTGGCATTAAGGAATTGTTGTTTGGCTTGGAAGAATATTGCACTTGGAATAATAGACACTACTATTTCTCTTTCCAAAAGGAAAAGCACAGTTTGAATTGCTTTTGACCTGAAACAGAAAATGCCAACAGAACAGGCTGTGTGATTTGATGAGCAGAATCTGAATTTCAATACGTTCGTAATGACTTCTCACCATGTCCGACAAGAATAATAACCGTCCACACCGATACGTTTAAGTTTATTTAGTCCAGATCCTTAACCGAGTCCTGCGGCATCCTGCATCTCTAAAATATAATCGCTGACAATTGAGGAGCTCACGGCCGAAGTCGAGGGCATAATTGCTAGGAAACATCTTACTGAACAGTTGGCGATAAACGCAGTCAGCCCCCTCCTTGGCTTAAAGCAATTAATTCAGGCACCCTGACATCAACTCTCAAATCCTCTGACAGCTTGGAGCCCAAATCAAAATGCTAGTTCTCCTGGGAACAGCAGAAGATAGCCGGCTCTTTTCTGGACTGTTTGCTCACTGGGCCTGAGAGCAATGTTCCTTGCCGAATGAAATGCAAGGACACAAACAATGTGCCGGCGAGAGAATGGAAGACGGGGAATGAACAGTTTGGACTATTTGCTCAGCAGAAGGGCAGTCACAATAGCTGGCCCATAGCTTTCCCATGCATCAAGCCTCTTAGTCTTAGGGCTCCTTTGTTGCTGGGTTTCGTTCAGATAAGAGTCCAGCTGCCCCATGTGTTTAATTCTCATTGTACGTTGTACTGCATGGTCATTTAGATACTTTTGCATGGATTTTCTCAATTTCGGGAACAAACACGCTCATATTGCGTGTATATATTTCCGTGGCCGGGCTTCACCTCTGCATGTGCTCTCATTTAAGGGGGACGGCTGAGGCAAAAAGGGGGTCAAGACTGCGGTTTGAGGGCAATGCCTTATCTTGTCTAGTATAAGGGTTCTGATATGGGCTGTGTGCTAATGATACAGTAGCTCTCTGATCTCTGATGTGTTTCACAAATGAGGGGTAGCAAAAGAAATCTATGCACATGACTACTTTGATCAGTAAATAAGAAAGAGGGATGACAATGCAATGGCTGCTCGGAAAGAAAAAGCCTGTTCCAGAGCTCATGTGCTTCTTTGTTGTGATTGCACACCATAAAAAGTAGTAAACACATAATGCTAACACTTTATGATAAGGTATCATTTGTTAACATTAGTTCATGCATTAACACAAACTACACTGTAAAAAAAATTCCGTAAAAATTCCGGTAAAAAACCGGCAGCTGTAGTTGCTGGAATTTTAGCGTAAAAAAATACGGTAGCAACGTTTTAGGTTTTACATTTTTAACTTAAATTTAGAGTTAAATACCGTAATTTCATAAACTGATATAATGTTAATATACCAACCTATTGAAGTACTGAAATCTGTTTTGTACCTTTGTAATACACTGATAACCACCAAATGCAGGTGGTGATGAGAAAGTCACACGATGAACCAAAGCCCATCACAAGCAGCTTTTAAATAGTAACATATATAGAAGGTGCACAGTGTCATTCACACAAACACTAAACACCATCATGGTAACACACATGGAACTGAAATAATGCAATAAACATTCATTTAACAACATTAGGTGTAACACACAACCCTAATATACAAAACTGATAAGAAAAAACTAAGAAGAAACATAGTTATTTCAACAGAAAAACATCAAATTTGAAATGTAACGCAGATACAATTTTTGCCCTTAAACATATATTGAACATGAACTAAGATTCATGATTATTGTTCTAACTAATTGTTGTTCTAATTAATGTTAACAAATAAGACCTTATTGTAATTTGTTACCAATATAACTGCTACCATTATTCCCTATTTCTGTCTGATCTAACCCTTAAAACGCAACCTAATGTTATCAGTTTGTTTCAGTCATACTGAGTAATATTTTTGACTTTTGACTATATATTTAAGTGTCATTTTTAGGTTAACTGACCACATATGTGTTTTACACTGCAGCATGCATTCTGTTCTTTTGTGTTCACTTTTTTGATACTCTTTTTTGAGCATATGGGTTTGAGTTTTTTTTTCTATGTACTGCCTAATATGTCCATATTTCCATATTATTTTTCTGATTTGTCCGCTAGATTAGAGAATATAAAATGTGTGTGATACACAGCAGCCTTTAGTCAGTTTAAAGTAAAGTAGGTCCACCACTGATTTTTTTTTTTGTTCTTACCACAGTATTTTATATTCTCTAATCTAGCGGACAAATCAGAAAAATAATATGGAAATATGGACATATTAGGCAGTCATGACTCACAAACTAATACTAATGTATTAGTGCATAATATGGTTTAAGCTATGGGATATCATAAAAGATGACAGATTTCGGTCACAAAGATGTTGGAATTTAATGAAACCCAAAATAATAATAATACATTCAGTGGCTTTGAAAAATAAGGTAAAAAGATTAATTTGTGTTTTATGTTTTTTTATATGTAAGTTTGTGAGTGGAAGTATGTACACATGCACGTCTGTGTGAGTGTGTGTGAACAGGTCGTGTGTGGGATGGTGCAGTCTTACGCTTCACTGATAGTAAAGTAAAGCTCTGTTAATGGCTGTTCAGCACTTCTTTAAGTTGCCACCACTGTGTAATTTATGGGTGCTGAGAATCGCTGTGTTGAAACACGACTCAGATCTCTACTGCACAGAAATGGCTGAGAACGACTGACTCATATAAGATGAAACACACAAAATCTGGGTGATTAGCAAGTACCGGAAACATGCCAAGGATACGGCTATGGGAACACCCACGAATAAAAACACACCCTGCTTTTACATATACCCAAGTGAGACTTGCTAAAATAAACGTAAAAGTGTTACAGTATTTTGGTAATGCATTAAATGAGAGACCATGAGCTGTGAAAGGCTTGAGTAATAAGTTTATTTAGATATTAGGCTCTGAGAAATGCGGGAAAATATGAAATAAAATTAAGGGCCAGGTATGTCTGTTATTCTTGTATTCTGTTAAATTTGGCCAATTTTCCAGAACTGAATAATTTGATCTGATGATGGATTTATGTATAAAACTGCATTTCCTAAGTTTTTACATTCAAAGTAAATCAATATTATATTATAAATAAATGGCATCTTAAACTGAAATGGCCATTCACATCAAAAGTGACCATTTCTGAAGAATTGACAATTTCCAAAACTTGGAACTGCATACCTTAAAAGTTTGCTCAGATTCTTTAGTAATGAGGTGTATATATATATATATATATATATATATATATATATATATATATATATA